AGGGAGCTGTGGGTTAAGAACGGCAAGCTGTGGTCTTGCTCGCTCCTACTTGCAAGGGGCAAAGAGAAGGAATTTCTAGATCAGTGCACAGGAGCTCTTGGGGAAGAGATCCAGCGCACACACATACGATGTGAGAGAGAGAGTTATTTCTTATTAGCACCTTTGGCTGACAGTTGTAAGGGCTGTTTCAGATGCTGGAAAGACAGAGGGGAACCCTCTTCCAGGCCATGCACCACAGGGAAGGGAGAGCACGAGAGATGAAAGGAAGCAGGAAGAACAAACAACTCGCCTTAGCATCCATCCATCCCTCCCTCCCTCCTTCCAAGGGAGCAGGGGAAGCAAAAAGGGTCAGGGGAAGCCTACGCGCAAGGTGGGAGAGACCAGCCTCACCCGGCTGGGGCAGCGTCATGCTGTTGGCCTATCTTCCCCCAAACTGAAGGAAGGATGCACAGCCCACTCCCACTTCCACCACGGAAAGGCTGGGGAAGGGCATTTCATGCCCTCGCCCCCAAGCAAGTGCAAGTGATGAACACCAGGAGGAAGATCTGGGCCAGAAGGTGGCTCCCCTTTTCTTCCCTTCCCCCTGCAAAGCTGAGCAAGTTGGAAGATGCAGGAGAAGAAGGACCAGGCCACCTGAAAGCACCCATACAACTGCCAAGGTAGCACCAATAGTCAAAGGAAAGGGGAAGCCAATACGGGGTGTACGCTGCATGGGGCACTCCCCACCACCCCAGCTTTGTCTCAAGCACCTTCCAGGCATGACGCTTCACCTGCCCCTCTCCCCCTCGCTCTGGAGGCATCTGGATCAACAACTGCCATGAGGACAGCAGAGGAGAGGGGAGATCCAGGCCGCAGGCCAAGAAGGGGAAGGATGGCAGGATCGGAGTCATGGTAAGTGGGAAACATAGGAATGGAAGAGACGGCATGCACATTGTGGGAAAAGGCTTGGGGGGAGTGGGCGAGGGCTCCAATCCTCTTACATCCTCCCCTCAAGGGTCTGGAGCTCCTCTTCAGTTTTTGTCAAAGATGGAAGGGGAAGGAGGAGGAAGAGCACCTTCCCCACCACCCCCACAGGCACACAGACACACGCTCACCCATCCCTCATACCCAAAGGCTCCACCGCCCGTTGGACAACACCACATTCAAGGACAAACAACCACTCCCCAGCCCCACCACGACCCTCCCTGCCTCCTCCCAGCGGCAGCAACACCCAGGAACGGTGGGTGCCCCCGCTCTGCCACACTGACACGCTCCAGCCTCCAGGCAAGAGGGAGTGGGCAGGGGGAAAGGAGGAGGAAGGGTGGCAGTGAGGACAGAGGGACAGCCAAGGGGAGAAGGAGAGAACTAAGGACAGCCATTCGCACCACGACTTCTCGCAGGTAGAACTCCCCCCACGCCCCTGGAGCAGGGGGACCTGGCTGCTCACTTGCTGCCTCCTCCGCCACCACTGCCCGCTGCCACCTTCTCAAAATCCTCCGCGTTGCAGAACTCCTTGATGGTGACGGTGAGGAGGTTGCTGGTGACATCCGTGACCACCACGTTAGAGCAAGGGGACATCTCAGGACGCCAGTCGCCGGCCTCCTGCTCTGGGTCAGAAGAGGAAAGGGACAAGGAGGGCGTCTGCCCCCCGCCACACCCTCCTGGGGGAGAACGCTTGCTGGTGGCGGCTGACTCAGGTGGGATCGAGAGGTCGAGGACCTCCGACTCGCGCCAGTCGGGGATGGCAGGGCTGAGGGTCTCAGGGAGCAGCTTTGGAGGGGAATCATCTGGGTCGGAGGAGGAGTGGGGGGCGGGCGACGGGCAGCCGGAGGAGCTGGAGCTGGGGGCATCATAGGGGGTGGAGCCCATAATGAGCCCACAGGAGGCTGCCTGGGAGCCTTCGGCCTCTCCTTTGCCCTCCAGAGAGGGGGCAGGTGCAGTGGACGGCTTATTGTAGAGCGAAAAGGCGCCGAACTTCATGTGACGGATCTGGGTGCGAAGGACACTCTCGCTGAACTTTTTGCTCTTGCCGATGACGCGGTTTCGGGATGGGATCTTGGGCCGAGCCAGGCCACCAGCCCCATTGGCTGGCTTCCCACCTTTGTCAATGACTTTGAGGTTGAGGATGATGCGGCTGCGCTTGGGCTCGCGGGGTTTCACCTTACGGTTGATGATGCGGACGGTCTCCGAGAAGGGCGAGACGGGAGGACGGATGCCAGCCCCGCCACCCACGCTCCCGCCGTTCTGGGGGTCTGGACGGGGCAGGGGGCGCCGGGACATGCGGTGGCATCGCCGGATGTCTTTCTTGAGCCGGTGCACTGCGGCGCTGGAGTGGAGCTTGGGAGAGGAGGTGCTGGAACCAGGCTTGACAGAAAAGTGTACATCCCCAATGTGGAGGGCCTCCGCTTGGGCCCGAGCCTGCGGTGGTGGGGAGAGAGAAAAAAAACAGGGTCAGAGAGGCAGCCTAGATGCAGCCAAATCTCAAATCACACGTTGCTCACCTCAGGACAAGAATGCCGTGTCACATTTATACCCATGTTAATGACAAGCACACTTACACACTATGGACTATTAAGAGCCACGGCACAGCCCCCACGCAAGCATGGGGCACTTCTACATCCTTTTTGGGCAGCTAAATACTCCCTAGGCAGCACCCCTGCTTCCCCCAGGAGGGAACTGCCACCCTCCAGCCATCTTTCAGCGTTACAGTTAATGGTTTCCAAGGCCCCCTTCAGTCATCATCAGCCAATGTGCACAACCCTCCGCTGTCAGCCAAACAACCAAGCGTCCTCCTAGGCACTGGGGCTGTTAGTGTTGAGTTAGCATCCAAAATTATGTACTAGTCCCAAGACAGGGGACTGAGCCAGGTCCTCTACAAAATGAGCACAAGACAAGGGGGGAGAGGAAGAGTATTGCATCCGGTTTGCTCTTCCTCTCCTGCAACCAGACTCATCTGCTCTGGAAAGAATGGTAGAAGGGATCTTGAGAAACACAGCTGGAGGCGGGTGAGGGTGGTCTGACAGAGCTGTCTCAGCTAAACACAAGAAATGCAGAGATCTGAAGCTTAATTTTAACTAGAGACCACAAGCAAGTTGTACATCCTTACTCTGCTGTGGGAACAAGGTCCAGTGTTTAAAGCGAGACCAGGCCAGCTGGAACTCAAGCCAAGTTTAACTGCATCTCCAAAGAAGAGATCGCCTTGTCCTTTTGAACACCACACTTGTTTGAAACCTACTAATGAAACACAGCAGGAACAGCACTGGTTCTACTGCTTGGTGCCAGCCCTCCCTGAGAACCAGGGCAGGGGAACAAAACTTTAAAGCTCTCCTGGTGCTTGGAGACAGTGCCAAAACCTGCCCTGGTTCATGCACCAGAGACAGGAACATTTTCTGGCAGCAGGAACAACAGTTTTGTTGGGAAGTTGAGGCAGTATGACATGAAGACCCTGTGGGCATGGAAACCCAGAGCATATTCTTACATCACTCCTTGTCAGAGCACAGTCGCTTGTAGAGCTCAGCCTCCCACCTGCACCCTGCTCCTTGCCCAAGCAAACCCCCTTCCTGATTCCCTCTCAGCAGCGGTCACAGGCAGAAGTCACCCGGGCCTGGAGGGGACAGGCGAGCCCCCTCACCTCTGACTGCCCATCTAGCGAGCAGCTTCCCCCATCTCGTGGGCACAACAAGAACTGCAGTGCTAGAAGACGACAGCCGCTTTTCCTCCCCAACTTTTCCATCCCGTTGCCCCCTAGCACACACCAACATCGGGATGGCTTCTTGCCAGCTAAGAGCTTAAGCACTCCAACACCATCTCCTTTGTCACCCTGCAGGCTGTGCCTCCCACCAGAGAAACGCCTGGGGAAAAAAAATGTGCACGTAAAGGCAGGGATCTAACAGATCTAAGCGAGGGGCCCAGGCCAGCTCTTGCACAATAAGCTCAAAGCCCTGGCCCTCTATCCCCAGAGCTTTGCTGTCACCCAGTGCCCCTCTTCCCCCACCGAGATCCCCATGGGAACCACAGGAGATCCTGAACCAGCAGAGAACAGATATGTGAAGACATTTTGTTCCTCCCTGGCTAATGCTGGATCACGCCCTGCAGTACTACTTGTCTCCTGGCTTTAAAAGGACTGCAAAGATGAGGCCTCCTTCCCTAGCTGTATGTGAAAATGCAGACTGAAGGCTCATCTGCACCAGGGGCTCTAGTCTTTGTATTAGCCGACTGGCAAAGAAAGAGGGACGAGTAACAGGACCGCCAGGGCAGGCACAGACACTCTCCATGTTAACCCTGAGCTGTACAGGGTTGTTTCACCTAGCTAGAGGGAAGCATCCCCAGCCCAGACAAACCCAAACACGTCCTGCCGTAGCAGGAAGCATCCCAGTGTCCAGCTAGTTTCTCTTTGCTCGGCCTCACGCATTACTCCTGCCCCAAACTGTTCAAAAAATGAATAGTTAGACGCAGTTCCTGTCCCAGGCATCCTACAGGCACAGCAGCAGCACCAGACGAACTCCCTGCACCACACATCAACTCTCCCTCTCCCATCCCAATGATCCACAACTTAGAGACACCGCAGATCCCGTCAGGAGGTCGCAGGCACAGACAGATGCACATCTAGGGCTCTGCTTGCTCCCTGTCTTCACAGGTCCCTCTGAAGCAGATGGCAGACAGCAGGATAAGCCACAGTTTGCTTTCTGACATTACATACCAGCACAGCCTATATTAACCATTTCTTCCTTTTTCCCCCCCCTTCCCCATAGCCCTTCCAGCATTGCTGCTCCCATGCTTTGGGCTTCTCGCCAATTTACCACTGCTCAGTAGAGACCAAAGTGCAACACAAGGTCCAGTTCCAAAATGCAGGACAGGGAAGCCAGGCAGAGGGTATAGACAGATGCACAGGCAAAAATCCTTGATCCACAGCTTCAGCTGATAGACACAGGCATCCTTCAGGGGGGCCTCTCCTGCTGCCAACACCGCATGTCTTCTGGATTAATTCCCTACCCTGTAATCACGCCTTGGAGTGAGGAGTCCTGCCCCCTCCATGCCCCTCTGCTCAGAGTCGAGCCTAATTGCCGCCTGCCCACAGCGCTGCCTTCCATCATCCATGTGATAACGAAGCAGGTCTCCCCCCACATCCCCCCTGAGCTACAGTTGGCTTACATGTGCCAAAATTCCTCAGCAAAGCTTCCCATCAATCACGTTAAATGAAAAAACGATAATGCTGGGATGGCCACTGCCCGGCCACTTCCGTAGTCCTGCTGATTTTACTTTCTCAGCCTGTGTACATTAACAGTTCCTGTCCTGTTTTGACAGAGACCTGTCTTGGCTTTGTGCTTACACAGCAGCTAGCACAGAGCCCTGGCCCACGGCTAGGACTCTTCCAGTGTGCCAGAACCACTAGGTCTCCTTTACTAGCTATGTGTCTGTGTTTCCAGTTACTTCTGGGGTGCTTCCTCATGGCTTAAATTGTTTCTAACTCATGTTTCAGCTCTCTGCATTTATTAAATTCCAGTTTCAGTAGTCTCCAGGTAGACTACATGCACCATCAACCTCTTTGACCAGATTATTAAAAGAGAGGGTAAGCTGGGACCCAACAGTCGTGTCCCGTCCCCCCCCGGGTGTGACACTGCTGTCCCTAGTGACCAGCTGCAACACGAGTTCTCAAGAGCAATATGCAAATATTCAGCTTACCTTGAGCTTGTTTTTCCAGGTAAGGTTTCAAGAAAAATAGTATCAGATGCTTTATCCGAGACCAGCCCTTAGAGCCCTGTCACTTGCAAAACTCAGTATTCCTACCACAGGATTGGGTTTATTCAGGCATCAATTATACAAACTCAAGTCTCTTCCCTGCCAGAGGACAGCACATTTTCTGGGCTCTCCTTCTCCTGCTTCCAACTTTACATTAAGTAACTTGCTACCTCTGGTTTGGAGAAGACTCAGCATTCAGTTTTATCTGCTGGAAATGCACTTCTCCCTGCTATGGATAAATTACTCGATCACACTCATGAGCCATATGAGCATGAGGTCTTTGAAAAACAAACCCGTTTAATCCTTTCGGCTGTGTCACCACAGTTTGCTACTTAACTCGGAAGTTTTCCAAATGGAAACTACTTCTCTGGGTTTTGCTGTTTTCACCTGCAGGATTTGCTCACTGCTGAAGAGGTACTCAGCATGTATACAAAGTAATTCACTCCGTGCTTACAGCTCAGCCTACATCAGGATGCAGCTTCTGGAGGCTTGCTGCAGTGCTCTGTCACGAGAGCAAGGCAATTGCGAGGATTGCTTCCCTTCCCCCCCTCCCCTTTTGGGATATGTATCACCTTTATTTAGCTTGTACAGCTTTCCCTCATTGCCCCTGGGAACTAGTATATCTCCCCTGTTCCCTACTATTTCTGAATAAATGTCCCCTGAGGCCCAGCAAACATATTTGTTCATTCATTCCCTTAACGCGCTGAGGCACACAAGCACGTACATGGACACGTGCTTATAAAAGCCTCTCTTACCTGATTTGTATCAAAACCTCCGCAATTTAGAAGGGAAAAAAAAGACAAAAAAAAAAAGGACCTTGTAAGACAACAGATTTCTAGTTAATTATTTCAAAATCAAGTCATTTCCAGTAGTGCTGCTGCACCATAGTAGCGCTACTCTCTCATGCATTACTGGTTCTGCTTTGTCTTTTATTCTCCACCTGCATTCCCACAGTCCTTGCTCTAAACAGCATTCGCAAGAGCTCTTCTTTCCCCTTTTTGGCTGCCATTCTGTCTTTTTATCGCCCTCTTTCTTCTGCAGTCTTCCAAGTGACAAGGCAACAGCAAGCCAGTTCATAGCACAGTTCTCCCAAGCAACACTGCCATAAACTAAAGTTTCCCTACTGGATGGCGAACAAAATGCTACAAAGGGAAACGGCCTGTTTTCAAACCGCTCGGGGATAATTTACGAACAGGGAGGAGATCAAAAGAAACCCAACTCCAACTTTAGAGTTCAAGGAAGGGCGAAGCGACAGAACACCATGCTGCTCGGCCCCTTCTCTCCCCCCCCCAAGGCTCTCCCTTACTTCTTCCTCCCCATTAACCTTCTCCAGTCTTTTCACCTTAGTATTTACAGCCACCCCGACTAGGGGTCTTTGCTAGTCACCCACTGAGCTTGCAGATCGGGCTCTGTCTCTTAATAGCACTTGCTAGACTTTATTAGATTAGTTGGCGAGTTTTGCATTCCTCTCAGCAGAGTGCCGAGGGAAAAGCAAAATATAAAGAGCAAACTGAGCAGGGGAAAAAGAGGAAGATCACTACAGCACGCGCTATGTCTCTGTCTAACCTCGCACCAGCTTCCGTTCTGACCTGCAGCTGAAGGGCCTGTCCTCGAGGACGACTTCTGCCAGACACCTAAGCAGCAAGGCAAAGAGCCTTACGTACAGCGCTGCCCGTTTCAGACCACGGATTCTGCTTCCCATACGCTCAGCACAAAGCTTGCAGCATACCAGCAGCCTCCCAAGAATTACAACCTCCCGCCAAGCTTGATCTCAGCTGTGGGAAAGTTTGCCCCTAGTATGCAGAGGATAAAGATCCATTTCCTGCCCAAAACTTTGCAGTTGAAGTTTGCAGGGGTCACTTTCAACACCAGCCATCTTGATAGCAATATTACAAAGCCTGGACTGTAGTTTCCCTTTGCAGTCTGATCGAAAGGGCAAGTGTTAGACAGCTCTCAGCAACAGGAGCCTGGCTTACAAAGGCAGCAGGTGGCCGAAGATGCAGCTTTTCAAAGCTTTTCCAAAGGCGTGGGCCACTAACCTGCTGGAATGCTTTCTGCAAATCCCCCTGGGTGCCTATCTGCAGCTTTTGAGAACTAGTCCCAGGATAAACCTAGCCCCAACTGCAAACTAAAACACCCACACAAGCCAGGGGACTGAGTGGTGTATCGGGGCACTTATTTCAATGCCTTACTGGAGACTCAGAAGCCTAAGTTTAAGCACTGATACACATGAAAAATCCTAGCAAGCCACCGAGTCGAGGGCAGACCAGTCTACCAAAGCAGCCCTAGGCCAGACTCCTGCTTAAACCTCATTGCATCCAGGCCTAATCTGTTCAGTTAACAGATCAAAAAGAATATTGTTCTAACTGCCAACTCCAAAGACTCCCTCTGGGATGCAAGAATCAAATTTCTCCCCGCTTCCAAAATTCTCACTGGCAAGAGATTCTGCAGCTGAAAGAACCGAAAGCATCGCTAGCGATGCACGAGGCAGAACCGAATCCCGCTCCTCCCACAGCAGCGCCAGTGCTGCAGGGCGAGCAGGGGTCAAACCCGCATCTGTTGGCGGGTCAGAAGAATTGACCGGGATGCACATGACACAAACCAGCATGCCGGTCTCGGTCACGTTTCTAGCCGCAGTTGCGTTGCTAGTGGTTCGCTGGAGCAAAGCTCAAACGAGTTCAGATAGGGCTAGCTGAGATAGGGTTACTTCTTGCTGCCTAGCCTGCGGTGGCATTTTTAGGGTAGGATCCGAAGTCATAGAAAAACGGCAAGTCAGGGCGCTAACACCTTCACCAGCTCCATTTCCCAGAGCTGCAAACCAAGCGGCAGCGCTCTGCCCTGCCAGCCTCTCCCACAACGTGGCACCAGCCTTCAGGAGAGCTCATCTCGCTCCCTATCGCGATCCATCTTCTACAAAGTACCAAGCCAGCTCTGCAAACCTACGGGTTTTCAGTAACGTTTGAGAAGCTGGCAGAAGGAAGATGTGCCACAGAAACGTGTCAGGGACGTGATTCAAAGGATGCTGTTGAATAATTCAGGTGCCAAGTTTAGGGGGGTTTTAAAGGGCAAGGGAAGAAGAGGAGGAATGAGTGGGTTTTATTTTTTAGTTTGGGGGTTGGTTTTGTTTTTTAAATGAGTGAAAAATTGGCAGCGGATTCTGCCGTATCACATTCAGAATAAAAAAAAAAGAAACTGATTACACACACTAACATTAAAAGCACGGCATAAACACTTCTCTACCATTCTGAACAATGTCAGGTGTTAAAAATACCGGTATTTTTTAATTCAAGCAGAGAACTATTTTAAGCTGGTGGTTTCCCTTTAAGCGTTCCTCTGCATTGTTGGAAACCTAAACACAAGGGTTTCATTTAATGCATGACTGCCAGAAAGAGAAAAACCAACTAGTCTAGTTTCCCTGAATAAAGAGTAAGAGGTGGTACATATCAGTTATGTTTGTAGGTCTCAGTCTGCAGATACAGAAAACTGTTAGCAGAAAAACAGGCAACAAGGGAGGACAGTTCCATCAGCAGGACTTTCCAGGATTACCACAGTCCCATGGATTTTACTCGGAGCATCAGAATACGCCTGTTCCCACATTTCTTCCGTGTGCTTCATTATGTCCTCTTAAAGCAAAGGAGAGGTGACACCCTACCCCTCACCGCCCTTTCCGGTGCTCATACAGTTAAAGTGCTGCACTGACTTGAGTAAAGCTCCTACCGCTGTCAGGCAAAGGAAAGTATTAACCTGTTTCACAGATGGGGAAACATGCACAAAGGCTAAATGACTTGCCCAAAGCCATAGGATGACTTAGTGATAGCGATGCCTTACCACAGGGTCCACCCTGGCTGTTCCAGGGATTTATACCAGATCAAAACCAGGGAAGCTGTGAACTCGCTCATCTGTCTTAATTGTACAGAAGTGTGTTGTGTTTCTACATTCATTTGAAGTCCGAGATTTATATAGTTGGAGAGGAAGGGGGTAAGAGGGGAGCAAAGCAAGGAGTCTTGCCTGTAAATCTAAGAAGCCTAATAAATAAACAAATCTAAATAACCTAATAAATCCACAGAGCTCACATAGCAGCCATGCAGCTACCAGATTTCTTAATAAAAAAAAAAAAGTAAAAAAATTGGGGGGAGGGGGGGCTGCACTAGGGACTACCTTCCTCATTCATCACTGCAAGCAAGCAGAGATGCTACGACAATACCTTCTTGCAGAGATACCGGGTCTGTCAGAGGGGAACTGGAAACTTCAGCTGCTATCCTCCGCAGAGGTGAAACACTACTCCTCCTTCCCCCCACCCCCCTCAAAAAAAAGACGAAACACGCCTGCAATTTACAGATCAAATTATGAACCCTTCGTGAAACTCTCGTGGAGCACCTACATCCTGAAACACAATCGAAGGAGCACAAGTGGCAGCGGGACTCCCGCCCCAGCCTCCCAATTGCTCAGCGTGCTGCTAAGTTGCAGGGCAGGGGCTGGATGGAACAGGCTGCTGAAGGAAGAGGGAGCGGGGCAGGCTAGCTCTCCGCTGCGGCAGCAGAAGGCCATAAAGTGGGAGAGGATATTGGAAAAGAGATTGCAGCCTCACCGTGCACATCTGCGTGTGCCGACCGTCCTGCTGGGGCACCCGTTGCACGCACACACGCTCTCCCCTCGCATGCTGCTGCGTCCCTGCCCCCCACCCGCTTTCCCGTTGGGTTGTCCCCGCATTCCCAGAGCCAGGTGGCAGGCACAAGTCACTCGAAAGTCCAGTCCTTCCAAGGGCACCAACCGGTGAGGTTTGAGAGGCATTTGGCTAGGCTTAAGTTATTTAAATAAGAGTTACCTTCAGGAGAAAAGTTTTAGGCTTAGGTCCTCTCTTCTTGGGCCCGTACAGCTCACGCTCTCGTTCCCTTTAGGGAGTCAAATTTGTCAAGAAGTTAAAACTTTTCTCAAAGGGATAAACAGATGCATACCAGTTTTAAAAAAAGAAAAAAAAAAAAAGAAAGAAAGAAAGAAAAAAAAAGACAGAAGAGAGCCTGGACGCCCTTTCCCGCTCGCCCACCCGGAGCCAAACCTGCTGTGCTG